TTAATCTATTAATATTTATGAATATTCCCCAATTCATGACAAGCTAATTTCACATGCATGAATACACACACTCACACCTACATCCCCACATATATAAAGCCCTCTTGACTAGGTAATAGACACAGCAAGCATCAACATCAATCCTTCAAGTCATCACAGCACTAGCCTGACTTGCTATCGGCTAAAGCTATATGCCTGTGTTTCATAAAAATCTAACTGGATTAAAGTAGAAAGCTTGCCATTATATTGGGATTCCTGTCATGTGCAGTGACCCTGCTGCCTGATACTACTTGTCTGCGAATGCACCACTTTTTCATCCACTACAAATTTACTTTGTCTGATCATTTGTTTTCCAATTACGTCTCTGTCCCTGCTAGCAGAAAATTGTCAGCTTTGGTTATGTGAACCTGCTCTTGGGTCTGTAACCAGGGGCAATATTTGATGCTTGGAACATTTTTATACCCATTAAAAGATGAAGGCAGGGTGAATTATTATCCCACACAGCTGATTGGGTTTTGTGGGGGTTGATTTAGGTTGCTGCACGTGATGGTATATGAGAAACACACCAAGACATTCTTATCTTCCCTTAATGAAAGTCTTGAACCTTATACAGAGTAGAAAGAGAGTGGATAAAGAAACTGGAGATAAATAAATGGCCGTTCACAAAGCAGGGTTTTACTTATGTACTCTTGGTATTTAACCAGTATTCCTCACATATTAAGTTACAGTAATATTTGACCACAATTTAAAAGTAAATAAAAACTTCACAGTAACACTTTCTCAGTAATTGCCAGAAACTGCCTACGCCTTGAGTGCTGCACTGCAATTTAGATGAAAGATGCTGAACTTAAAGTCAAGGAGAAGATTGCAACCATTCTGTATACTGGGAAAACACAACAAATGAGCCAACAATGGCAGCAAAGCTGAATGGAACTTTGAGAAGCAGAGCAGAGGACACGGTAGCAGAGAAAGAAAACAACAGAATCAGTGTTTGGCTATAACTGTCACATTAGCTGTGATAAATGAAGCTGCTGACAGAACCTCCAGAAGACGATGCAGGAAATTCCAGTGACCAAGGGCTGAATAATCAGACACAATGGATTCTGGGAAGGAGAGGCAATTTGCTGCTCATGGTTCCCAGCGGAGGGGCATCAATTCACATATTGACCTTTAAAAATGCTATTAATGGATAATATCTTCAGTTCAAAGCTGCATGAGAAGTTCTCTAGTAGGGTATTGTGGGTGGTGAAATTACACCACAGTGCATTGCTCCTCTGACAGGCAGCAGTATTTATCAGGGGTCAGGTTTCACATCGGACAGTCAGTCCATTTAAAATGGAAAGGACAGTTAAAACAATAACATGCTTTGAATAATGAATCAGTCAACTGTGGTGAAAGGTCTTGAGCTGCAAGAGAAGGTTTGTCATTGTACATACACTACAGTGCTGCAGTGTTTTCTAAAGGACAGATGGCAGTTGCAGTATTTATTGCTGAAAGCAATTCATGCATCAAGACACACATGGCCACACACATGTAAACAAGCAAACAAATAAATTCAGGTACTACACTCATAACTGTTTACTGCAATTTGTGGCTTTGGAAAACGAGACATTGGAGACTTGCAATGGCATTTTGATAATAAACTTTTTTTTGTGTGGACTTGATGCACAATTCTGTGTTTTTATGGTGCTTATTCCTCCAAGGTCCCAAAAGGCTGCTAGCACTTCAAAAACATTTCACAGGTTTAAAGAAGAACCTAAAGGGTCAAGTATTATGACCGTATAAAACACAGTATGCAGTTGCTGTGAGAAGATCGGAATATGGGATTTGATGAGGTTGCTTTTGCTAACAATCTTTGTTGACAATTTTTGACAATTTATTAAACAGTGTAAAGGTCAGGATAGACTAAGGACAGAGAAATGACTTGTGACATCTTACTGAGCCAGTTAGATGTAGTAGTATAATACTGTATATAGTGTTTAGAGCTTTGAAATGTGTTATTCAGTTGTAATTATGGAAACAGGTCGAAAGCATGCAGCTGTAGCGAGCAGCTGGCTAGCTTAGCTTAGCATAAAGAACAAACATCAAGTTGTGGTTGTGCTAAGTTGAGTTAAGCTAAGCTAACCACCTGCTGGATGATCAGCAAGAAACTGAATATGTGTACTTTCCAAAATGCTGAACCATTCTTTTAGGAATTTTTAATTATATGGCACTGCAGTACTCTAGTAAGGTAAGGGATATTTATCTGTATATTGCCTTTCAAAAACAAGGTAATTCAGTATGCTTTATATAAGCCATAAAAAAGCAAACGTATAAATGAAACACAAGGCGGTATAAAAACACATATAAACAGGATTTAAAAAGGATGCAATAAAACTGAATCTGAAATTGAATAAAACAGAATAAACAGAAGAGTAAATATTAACTTATTAATTTTAAAAAAGAGCACTAGTTAGGTTTGTTCCAGATACAGTACATGGTGTATATGAACTGGATGCTGCTTCTCTGTGCTAAATTTCGACTCCAGGTAGTAAGCAGACCTATGCAGGATGACCTGCACTGGCTGGCCAGTTCATAACACAGCAGCAGTGGATCAGCAGATTGTTCATCAGCAGGGATGAACATAAAGTTTACTAAAAAATTGGGGCTAAAATATGACACAGAATATGTCATCTCTTTCATCTCATCTGCAACCTTAAAACCCAAAAGACAACTTTGGGAATACATTTTGGGGAGAAAAACTTTCATGAAAAAATAAAATTTCCACTCTGCAGACCTTGGATCAAATTCGACAGCATCTTTTTAGTCTTCTCTCAGTTACATCTTACTGTCATCTTTCCTGTTGCCTCCATTTCAGAGAAAAATCCTTCCTATTCTTTGAAATGGGAAACTACTGCTAAAAGCTTTTCAAGTACACTTAAGATTTGTTTGAACTTGAACAAGAGATTCTGCTGCTGCTAGGCGACGTTTGTCACATACAGCTTTATCTTATGACAATATATATTCATATAGTTTCACTGCAGACACCTTAGAGGGACACATCTTCACATTTAACAACAGAAAGCGATGACACTGATGTCTGCTGCTTGTGTGCTGTTGGACAATGCTGTCTCCAACATTTGCAGTATAATTTAAAATATGCAAAAATATAATAAGTGAAATGTTTGGCAGATGAGTGGCATCAAGTTGTTTAGCATATAATGTGTGATATTTACCCAATTTCCAAGTTTATATCTTTCCAGATGACATGGGTAAATGGTCTATTATATATTTACCATTACTGCTGGTGTTTATGCAGATACAGCTTACCTTGCACAATGAGGTAGACCTGTGAGGTCTTGGGCTGCTGTTTAGTCTGTATGGAGCAGGTGTACGACCCCTCATCATATACGTCCACCTACACACAATAAGACAGAATATTGCTATTAGTTTGAATGTAAATTTATATTCTTATTATATTACTACTAGCAGAGCGTTATGTTTTCCTTTACATACTTTGTTAGCTTTTTACTGATATGGTTTATCATGATATTGTGCTTCCTATTCATTGACATTTTAATTTTATTATAATGGTCAGAGAAATTCCCAAAATCAATATTTATGATTCTTAAACTAGCAAAATGCAACTGCAATACCAACACCGACAACTATAGCGTGCAATATGATGTCATTCTGAATGAATGTCCTCTGGGAACGAGAATTAATGTAAAAGAAAAAATGTAATAATAATAAAAACATCAACAACTACAACAATAATATTGTTATTATTATCGCCAATCATGCCTCCCTACATTTCTTACTCTCTTCAGTCTTATTCATGTTTACACTAACTGGCTGTCTGCTATAAATTACATACTGCTAATCTGCATCCATAAATACATTTGGAAAGAAATACAATGCCACTGGGATTACAACGTAATGAGGAAATAGCAAGTCACAAAACATTTGTAGTGACTATATCAACAAAATATTCACTGATGACATATTTAATTTGTTTTTCCCACCATGTCTGGATTTGTCATTATTACATTTTTTAATGGTTATGCTTAGGGAAAGGTCATGGTCTTGGTTAAGTGAGTTCTTAGGTAGGTTCACAAAGACAAATGCTATTCACTTATTTGCTGAGAATTAAATGCTAAGATTGATACCAATCTCAGATCTGCCTATTAAATATGAATGATTTTTAGCTTTTAGAGGTTTGGCTGTTTACCCCTGTCTCTAGCCTTCACGCTAAAGCTAAAGTAACTATCCTGGCTCCAGTGTCATATTTGGTGGGCACACAATCATATATCTCAAAAGGTCAAACTAGTTGTGCAAGTATTAAGTTGTGCTAGCAGAGATTTTCATGTTAAACCCTCCTGCTCTTAAAAAAATAAATTTAAGTCAAGGTGAGCAGTTTGTTAAGGTCATGTTTCATGAGTTTTAACAGGGTCACTCAAACAAAAAAAGAAACTAAAATTCACTTCTTTTCCATTGCTAAATACAAGTGTCGTCCAAACCCAGCTCATGATGAATCAGATTTGTACTGCTGGGATTACAGTCCACTCCAGTTTGCACCATCTACAGTCACGTTACCTTTTGTATACGCAGGCTGTATTCCAGCTGTCCTTTAGTGACCAGATCTACTCTGGGGTCCAGGGACCACTTGTCCTGACCAGCAAAGATGATGTTGGATCGATTGAGCCAGGCCACTCGAGAAACTTTGTCATCAACGTAGCACCTGCAGGCAAGACAACAGCAAGTGAGGCAAGAAGAAGGAAGTCTTGGCTTTTCATTAGCGGGATGCAGTGCAAACAGGTGTGAAAACAAAGATCGTCCTTCATTTCCTGAGATGTAACTTAAAGGAAATTTACTGATTTATAAACAGGAAATAAAAAAACAACACCAGAGTAAACAAGTTGTATGAAAGTCAGAAGTGTTTTCACTAAGGGCTTATTCACACAAACGTCTTGAAATAACAGCCCAAGCTGTGTATACAGTATTGCAATACAATTCAGCAGTGCTACTGTATGTTTGATACTGCTGACCAGCATGGTTCCAAAGTTAGTTAACTAAATCGGATAAGTCAGCATTCCACGTATCGTGAAGTCTCGAAAGAAAAGTCAAAGTTCAGGAGCATCTCTTTTTCTTATTCATCCCTCACGCTTTCTCTTCCTCCCACTCACTGTCTATCACTGTCTCCCTTCAGCCCCCCTCTACTTCTTTGCATCTACCTCCCTTCCTCTCTGATAAATACAGTGCATCTTCTTTAACTGTTAGCTTATCCCTATGGAAGAGAGAGTACACTGGCATCCTCGTTTACTCCTTGCTGCATACCGTCAGCGCATTACACCACGTAAGCTTATGCTAAGACATCTAAAACGGAAGGAAAGGGAGCTGAGTGTCTGCCTAATGAATAAATGTAAATGTGAGAAGAAGTCAGAATCAATGAAAATGGACATCAGCCGTAATGCAAGCTGGCAGTGGATGTGCCTCAAATGCAAATTTCAAGAACTCCCTGAGCCTTGTGCATGCTGCTTTACAGCGTGTTAGGCTACAAGACAGCAGATTAGTGAGGCAGCGGAATGAGGCTGTCTTTGGCAGGTGATCCCGGGTGACGCACAAAAGTGGTGGTGCAGCCACCCCAGCCTGTTACCCAGTGGGAGCTTGATGTCAGATTTGTTGAGGGCTTGTACTCGCAGCTTGAATCCTTCCTGATGTTTCTTCCCTTTGTGTGGCACCCAGATAACTCACTGTATTTACTGACTGTTTGACACCTACCGTCTACTTCCCTCACTGTAAAGTGTTCATCCAGTTTGGTTTCAAATATCTTCAGGGCTTTAATTAATAGAGACAATTCAAAAGCATCCTGAGCCAATTCAGACACATTTATCTATAATAATGAAGAGCTACAGTAGATGAACAGCTATTCCCCAAAACTATCCAGAATACAGAGGAAATGTCTGAAGCATTAAAATAGAGCCTGACTCTCATAATTCAAATCAATGCAGATTATTTTATGACTCAAATTTAGTATGGGTATTTTGAGCTTTAACCTTGGCAAATCATCCATGAATGATGGGCCCCTGCAGTGCGTAATTCATGCAAGTTACGTGTTCAAACCTTCAGAACACTGCTTTTATTTTCTAGAGAAGAGCTCAGCGCTTTCAAAGACATAAAAATAGCCTCTACAATATACCAGAAATACCTATAATTGTGCACAAAATGTCCTACCAATATTTCAATTAACAGAAAAAAGGTCATTTCCATTGGTGCCTAATGCCTCTTTGTTCAACAGCTGCTCACTATATATTTTGATTCAGCACACAACATCAAGCATTAGTTTAGGAAAGTGGTTATGGTTCCTTCAGCCTAAAAAATGCTAAGATGCACATTTGCTTTGAACAATTTAAAAAACAAAATTCTATTTTCTACATATTTAATGGTTCTAATGTATAATTTACCATTGAACAACCGCTCCTTTTCTAATGCACCACATTAGTGAAACATATAAACACACAGTGACAGGTTAAACAGCTTTTAGGTGTTTGCAGTGAAGCAATAAACTGTCTGAATGGTTGCATCTTGTTTGTTTTCACCAAGCTTGCTTCCTCTCATCCCTTATTACCACTCGTCTCCCACCATGAAGTCACCAAGAGGAGGTGAAAAAAGAACAGAAAGAAAGTGGAAGACGTGAACAGAATCATGACACCAATTTCCTAGAGCTGTCTTTTTCAAAAACCCAGATTAGACAAAACTTTATGCTGTTACTGAACCTGAATTTTGATCTTATAAGCATCGTATTAGAGGAGTCTCTCTATAGAGTTGAGGATTTATGGTCACTTCTGTGACTTGCAACACATACAGTACTGTATGCTACTAGCAATAAACCCTTAGAAATGTCCTTAAACGTAATACTTATAAGTTAAACGTATGAAGGTTTGCAACAATTTGCTTGTGACATCTTTGTAGAAATCAGCTCCAGTCACTGTGCCAGTTAACATTACTGTCCAAAAGCTGGTTCTCTGAGTTTTAATTCAGAAAAAGATGTTCTATTCTACCATAAAAGATGAACAAACATCCTGTTTAAGCTAAAAGTACAAAAGTCGGTGAGCTGAAATTGTTACCACACTGTCACCTGCCATTTTTATTATGATTCACTATTTACAGGGTGAACAGAGAATGATGAGGCAGACTGTTGCTTCCTGCTGCTTTGAGTGCCAATGAAAAGTTTAGGTTTTCTTTAGGAGTTACCCTGAGTGATACTTTGTGATCGCTGTTCAGAGTCTGTAGAACTGTTATTCAGCCAGGTGTAAGCACGGATTCATCATGCAATTAATATGTAAAGTTAAAGACCTTAAATGTCTCAAGTGAGATTGAGATAAGATAAAACCTGTCATTGCACTAGAATTCAGCACAAATAAACAGAAAGAAAAGAAACCTTCTATAAAATACAGTGGCCAGTGTGAACTTTAATGCAATACACTGCCTCTACTATCCTCTATACTGCGTAACAATCATTACTGAACTATAAAGTGTAGTTGCACAGAAATCAGAGCATTATGTAACACTGCACATACACACAGTATGGCAGTGCATTATGAAGCATTAAGTGGGAGATGTGCCTTTTATGCTGTTGTCTCCTGGTAAGGCTGTCATGGTTAACAGGAGTTTGCTAAAGAGCTAGAACAAAGAGAAATCAGGGTTCCAGTGAGTCCAAAACTGTGAAAGCATTAACAACATGATATATACAGTGCCACTATACTGTAACAAAATTGTTTTTATGGTTTTAATAAATATAGCATATACTGGCAATGTCCCAGGTGCAGTAAAATAACATAAAAATCAACTCCTGAAGTGTAACAGATGCCAGAGCTATACTTTGAAGGTATTATCAAAGCAGCTTACTGTCGCTTCCTTTACACAGAGATTGCAGCAAATTGCCAGTATTTTAACCCTTCCTCAATGTGGCTTTTTGATTATGCCCCTTTTACACTGAAGTTAAAAACTGCTGCTCCTGTGCTCCTTTCACACGGCTCAATCCCAGTACATGCTTATCATGATGTTCAACAGCCTGCGTACTTTGTGATCAATTTGAAAATGAAACACGTGGAAATCAGGAATTACAGTAGCCTGTACTGTGTTTCGTCTGCATTCACACTAATTCTTTTCACAGAGTTGTGCAGAGGTGTGGCTCTGTTTATTTGTGCTTTAGAACATAACCACATTGAAACACAAACAAAATAACATTTTAATCCTCTGATTCACTTGATGCTGCTCTCCCTCCTCATTCACTCTCTAGCTCACTGTCCTTCTTGGACCTCCAACCCCCCATGGGCAAACTCATCTCGGCAAAAATACTAGCTCTCCCTGTGACATTTTGGAGGGTCAACACTGATGCCCCATATCGGTACTGCAGCTTTTATACAAAGGTGAGGTGGAAAACTGGTGAAAACTCCCACATCAAACGGGCAGTGCAAAAGGGGCTTATGATTCCCACAGTGTTGGGACAGCTGTCTAGACCCTACAGCATACATCACTTTCCAGGTCATGAAGGAAGTAGGAAATGTAGTCAAATAAAAAAAGGCCACACTTGTAGTGTAGCAGGATGCGCCCACTTGGACCTTCTGTCTAAGTGAGACAAGCAGTTTTAACTGTGAACAGAATCATAGTGTGAGTGTGGCTCCTCCAAAGTAGTAAGTGAGCTCTTAGATAAATACAGGTGACTGGCACTATTAGTCATCCCAATGTTCCTAATTGTATTGCTTCCTTTCAGTTAGAGGTCACTGTATGTTTCTCCAAATGGGTTAAAAAATAGATCAATTAACACACACCACATGGTACTGTACATGTCACCACACTCTGACTTCAGTCACAGCCATATTCTGTCGCTCCCAACGTTTTCATCTTTTCTTGCCTTCTATCTTTCACCCTCATCTCTGTGCCTCTGCCTTGCCACTGCCTCACTGTTCCTCTCACTATTCTCATTTTCTCATCCCATCTGCTTCTCATCCAAGTTGTCCTCACTCCTCTCTGTAGGTTTCTCCTCCTCTTGCATCTCTCCATCAAAACTCTGGAGCAACGAACAGCAGAGACTAGAACAGAAATCAAAGTAACCCTTTATTGATCTGTGCTACAGGATGGGCTTCTTGGCTACCTCTTCCCTCGAAGTGTTCAAGCCTCCAGAGGGTCCTGACAACCCTTGGTGCAGATTGTAGAGCATGCTCAGTAGTATGTGTTTCCTGTTCTCACTAATGAGCCACTGCTCAGGAAGTGGAGAACTTCTTATCAATTGTCAGAGCAGTTGTCTGCCTGTAGCTCTCACTCCCCTCTAGCAGAGTAGCTGTCAAGGTGTGTCTTCACAGGGCCTGATTTCTCAGGCTGTGCCAGGTCCCTGCTGGACCAGAATGAGAAATAAGAGCTTGGCTGTCTCCTGCTGGCCTAATCAGAGGCACATTCAACAAGTTGCTTGCAGGGAACTTGATCTGATTTGAATAGCAAGTTATAGTTGGATGATTTGTAATGAAAATCCATCCCATTAACTGGCTGCAGCACTCACAATGATGCGGTATCTATGTTGTATCTCAGTGCCATTTGGCCAACATAACTTCATCTATTTGAATATTTGTCAGCCGTTGTAATCACAACATCTCTGTGTTTGCAGCCCTCTGCAGAATCCTCTCCAAGCCCATAATCCTCTGCAGAATACATTGTATCTGCCAACATACTGTAAAAAAACTT